AATGAGTTAGCGTACTTAACAAGTGCGCAAATAGTAATTATGGGAGTGAGTTATGTGTGTGAATGACAGGTGGAAAGAAAATTACAGGATGTGCATCAAAACTGAGTTACTGTTTGAGAAAAAAGAGTGAATGAGTTATTTGGTAAGCAGGTGGGATGAGTGAATGAATTGTTGTTGTGAATGAGTTGGTATGCCGAATGAACTCATTATGAATGTCTGTCGGCTAGAGAATGTATAGGAGGTGTATGAAAAATTCTGAATGCAATGAGAGAATAAGTTCGGTGTGTGAATAACTTTTGAATAAGTGAATACGTATGGTATGGTCATAAGGATACTACTACTATAATAGGAAGCAGGGTTTGTGCTCCCCAGGCACTGCAGTTTTCTGGCTTATTGTACCTTTCTAATTTCTTAGTTCAGTGCTATATACTCAATCCTTCTCCTTAGAAGTATCAGGTTATTGATTGTCCCTGCTACAATTTCATACGTAATCTGCAGATGGGATCATCGCTGTATATGCCCATGTTGTATAGATGTTTTCTCAGATGCCAGTGACCGGTTAGTAGTCCTACCACTCCTCTGAGTTTGGCCCTCTCCAATTGCAGCAGTGTTTTTGCCAGTCTCGGTGAGGGTTGTTTTATCATAAGTTTACTATGTCTAGCACCGCTTCTACGATGGAGGATTCTATATTTGTTTTTGTTATTCCAAGTATAGGTTCGGGGCCTATGTATGGTCTTGCAGATCCTCCTCTGGCCAGTCTGTCTGCTTTCTAATTACCCAAAATTCCTCTGTCCCCTGGCACCCATGATACCATCAGGTTGTTGTGTTTCCCCAAGCTTTGGAGATTTTGAATGCATTACTGCCTAATTTTGATGTGATTCTTTCCGTGCCAATTTTTTAATAGCTGCTTGGCTGTCAGATCTTATGAAGATTTTTTTGCCAGTGTAAAACCTCTTTTAAGATTTTCCAGGGCAAACAAACAAGCATTGATGGCATGTATTTCTGCTTGAAAGATCGAAGTGTACTTCCCCCCTTTGATGTTTTGGGCTTGTACAGAAAACGCCTGATCCGGTTCCTTCATTTGTTTTCGAGCCATCTGTATACCATATCATTGTATCTGATGCTCTCTTGTGTTCTTCCTCTCCTTTATAGTTCATTAATACTTTGCAGGATGTTGTAAGAAATGTTTCCGGGAAGTGAATAGGAGGATAAGCGAGTGGATTGGTGAATGAGTGAATGTCAAATAAGTTGTCATTGGGCATATCGTCGTGTTAATGTGAAAATTGTGGTTTGATGGGTGAGTGAAATAGATATCAAGTAATCATAATAATAGTAGTAGCAGTATCTCCAACAAACAAAGAACACATTTGTTCAACTATCAGATTAATAATAAACATAAGATGGTAAAGGAGATAAACACAGATAGCCGTTTTTTCAGCTTAAAATCGACCAATAAATGACAGAACCATCTGGAGCCATCCGATGATTAAAGATCCGATTTGGGACTCGTGAAATTTTCCGGCCCGCATTACAATTTTCTAAATCCAGTTGGATATACAATCCCGACCGTTAAGTCGGGCAGGGATAAAGAAAAGGACAGTTCGTTAGGACGGCCGGTTTGTATTTTACGCGACCGTTCTTTATGGATATTGCATCTGGACTCATTTTCATTTTTTATTACAGCCATACTTTGTTGTTTTCGGCCAGCAAATGGGTTTAATGGTTTACCCATTATTATTGTTTGTTGGAGACGACTTGGAACAACAAACAATATCTGGCCCCGACAAAACGCCTAAAAACTCTAGTAATAACAACCCATGAACCAAATTAAACATTATATAATGCAGCTAAAGTTAGAATTACCAGTTTTATGTATCATAAATGTATAGATAGATAATTCTTATAAACCAATCAGGTGTATCATTGTTTTTTTTCATTATTGAAAAAATGTTGATAAATTATTTAAAATATGACTGATATATCTTAAACATTAATAAATCTCTACTTTTATTCAGCATTGCCAGTAAATGTTGCCTTTTTTTAAATTTATTTATTTTTTATTTTTATTATTTTTATTTTTTTATTGGCCTTATGATCTTGCATATTAGCCATAGTACGAATTCTTGTGTGTTTAAATTGGGGGTTATCGGGAAAAAGGGCCAGAGGCGACAGTGGGAATCGAACCCACGACCGCGGCGTGAGAGTCTCTCATGCTAACAACAAACTTATAACAAGCGTTTGACCCAGCAGTATAATCGGAGTTGTGTCGACCGCGTATGGCCTATTAGTTGGGTGAGAATGATCCCTCTTACTTACTCAGCTCCTTTGATGGCAACCTATCGATAATTTACATCAGAATTTATAAGTGTGCAGTTTATTTGTTTATCGCGTTTCTCAAGTGTCCAAGTTTTGGTAAATAAATATATAAATTATTTTTAATGATATTTCATTGGGTTGGTCATAAAATGCATCTAAAATGAAAAATTACATTAAGTTTACATTTTATTTACAAAATGTACGTGGTACATATATATTACAACATAATTCGATCTGTATTTTTTGCTTGTTTTTGGCTGAAAAAGCATAAAACGTTGAAGTAATGGAGAGAGATGGAGAGAAGGTGGGAGGGAAAGAGAGGGAGAGAGAGAGAGAGAGAGAGAGAGAGAGAGAGAGAGAGAGAGAGGACAGCAGCCAAGCAGAGAGAGAGAGAGAGAGAGAGAGAGGGAGAGAGAGACATGTTTATACAGAATATATAGATATACTTATTATCATCAACAAGGTAAAAAATCCTACGCCTACAATGAAATATGAGAACTTGAAGGAAAATAGTCTGATTTTTGTTATCCACGCTATTTTTTTTTGAAAGGTGAATTTATTCATTCTGATAGGAACTAGTTCGTTCTAAATAATTATATATTCATCTCATCCAATCAAACAAAACTGGCCGAGTGGTTAATGTCGCTTTTACAACTTATCCATGAACTACTGAACTGTATTGTTACGCAGATTTTCCATTCATTCCCCTCCAACTTTTAAAAGTGGATCCTTATCTCGGCCCTTTGTGAATACAAATAGAAGCGAAGGCATTTTAAAATTTCCGCTGTGAAATAACTTAAAGATTATGGCAATATTTGTATCATCCATTGAAAATGATGTCCTATTTTTCGATTTGTAGCTTTAATTTTGTTTGTAATTGGCGAACAACCAACAGACAGTTTTTCAGAAAAAGTTTTTAAAAAATAAGTTGTATTAATCTGATCTTAATAACCAATGTATTGAATCTGACTAAAAAAGGAAAAAATGCTTTCTTGAATAATCAATTTATAAATTGGGTCCTAAAATCTATGGACGGAAATTCCTTGATAAATCCTAATAGATTCGCACGATTTTGGATAAATATTTTTATACAAACCAATTCATTCTTTATTAAAGTGTTAATATCCATCGTAAGATGATTAAGATTTACTGAAATTCAGTCATAAGTTATGATCTGTATTGTTTTTCTATTCATAGATAACACATAGAAAGCCACTGAACAGAGGCGTGGGCCCACGCAGTGTAAATCTTGCGAGTCGATATGGATCTAGTTTGATGGTTTTTTCCAGTCCATCAATCCTTGGATCCATTGATGGTGGGTGCCCTCTCGCACCAGTCGGATTTCGTTCGCCTCGAGAAAAATGTTTGTTAGCATTATCAATCGCCTCTAGATTCTATCAGCTTCCACCAAAGCTTCGTGCGGGAAAGGCAGCATAAATTCCCTCCGCCCCAAGATTTATCGGCCGGCTATACCATTATTCTAGCTATTTTTGGATTCTTCCTGGGCTTTGAGGATTGACTGGAGAAAGTTTAAAAATTCCAAAATATTGCTCATCCACAGTCAAAACTTATTCCGTTAATTTCGTTTTTTCGAAATATTCAAATTAGCCATTTCATTTTGCTTCCGTACTCTTCTGTTTGCTTCAAACAGTACTGACGTACCACATCCATCCTTCTTTATAATTTTTTTTCCATACTTGCCTAATTATTTTCTCAAGGTATTATACCCTTAGGGTATCTGTTGGGTACCTTACATGTTATTATATAGGTATGTATGTTTAGACGAGTCAATTTATAAGTTACATGTTAAATTTTCTTCAACTCAACTTTTTCCAATTTCGTAACCGCCTTTCTTTGTACATAGTAAGTTCTTTGGCCTTACTACCATACCTATTACACAGTATACCATCCTATACATCTACTACTTTTCCAGAATTTTCCTCACAACAAGGTGGTCGTGAGATATCTGCCTTTCTAGGTATAAACACGGATGAAAAAGAGAAAGACTACTTGCTGCTCCAATTTGCCATTCGTTTGTAGTTTAATTGTCTTCCTACACCCTCGTTATTCATATATTTTAGAAATGGGACATGCAAAAGCGACGAGTGAATTAATTTTCGAATATGTGCAAAAAGTACTCAGATGTAACTGTGTTATTAGGGCTGGGGTTTTAAAGTTATTCGATAATTTCTTATCTATTTTAATTCAAACCGGTAAAAAGTTGGTTTCAAAAGAAATATAGGTAAAAAGATCATTTGGTTTCCAGACAACCGAACTATTCGGCTCTAAACATAATTCGACACTAAATTTCAAGTTGGAAGTTCAGAAAGCTTCTTCGTACCAGGAAGCAGACGCTTAATCATGAATAACGGTCGGGTTTATAATGTGACATTAGGGCAGAATGAAATCAACCATAAAAAATGAATTGTTAAATCAGGTTGACTGATATTAACGACTTTTGATTGGAAATTCCTCATTCTGGTATTTGAGATATTAACAGTAATATTCTATATTTTCTCATCTTCAGGCGTGGCCGATTTTTCATTTTGGCGACCGGTTCTTTCTTTTGAAAGCTTTTACTTAGCTGTCTCGGACAACTTTTCTCTCTAATCTCTTTAGCGACTTACAAATTAAAATTCCTTAAATTATAATAAAATACTGTAAGAAAATGTAAAACGTCTAACCTTCCTCAATTTGGGCTTTTCTTTGGCTTTAGCCAATTCCTCTTCGAGGTAGGTCCTCACGCCGATTTTACAGTCCATGACGCAAGGGTTCGTGAAGTCTCCCAGAAGGTCTTGAAGCTGCAGGTACATAGACGATCCTGAAAATTGGCCTAATAAGTTATCATATCTTGTTATTTAAAAAAAATGTTTAATTACCATCTCCATCGTCGCAGGTGACGTGCCCTTTATACTCAGGAACGTACGGCCTTAAAATATCCTTCATCAGGATCTGGAAGCACAGCTGCTCTTTCGGGCATAACTTTTTCAAAATTGTCCCCGGCTCCGGTCCAGCTTTGAAATTACCTACGGATCATTTAAAAGATTATTTTAACTATTTTATAATATGAATAAATCATGCTTTACTGCCTAAAAATAGTATAGCAGATGGTTGGCCGTTTAATTTATCAGATTTACTTCTTTTTAACCCTCCACTATTCAATTTAAACAATGGTGACAATGTAAATTTATTTAGTATATTGCTATGCGCTAACAGATCAACTTTCATAGAATAATTTCATTTTAAGTATAACGACTGTTAATGTAATAGTACATACAATCCCCTGAAATATATAAATGAACTCTTTTTCAATAGCATGACAAGCGTTTAAAAGGAAAAATCTTAAGAAGGATAAAAATTTGAATTTAACATGAGCCTGAAGGGACGTAAGATGTAGGAATCTTTAAAGTGGTTTTTAAAACTCCAATATCATTACTCTCCTTTTGTCGACTATGATGGAATTAGCTGTCAAAGGGGGCGTCGGTGGCCGCAACGGTTTATGCGTTGACACGTCACTCATCACTGTAGGTAAAGGTCCCGGGTTCAAATCCAGCGCCCCTGCATTCGAACCCGACATACTTACATATGGGCTTTATTTTCAAAAGCACCGGCACTCTGAGGTTGATATGACCTCTGCTGTTGCGAACCTCCGTAAGAAAAAAAAGAAGCGTGGTCGGGTTGTTCACTGTATGAGGTAAGAAGTCGAGCAGGACGAAATTTTGCGTTTTGGTAAAAAAATTACTATTATCAAGTACAGTTCTAAGTTTACCATCATCCCTAACAAACCAGTTGACTTATTTGCACACTTTTTGCCATGTTATTTGGAAAAGGTATACCCAATGCTTTCCTCTTGTCGAAATATATCAATATTTTTCAACAATTGTTGGTTTTTTTAAATCAAAATGAAAATCAGGTTTTTCAAGCCGATATGTTAGGCGTTAGACGATATTCGTGATGAATGGTTCTGCAGCTTGTTGGAACCCTTTCAAGTGCAAGGTTCAGCTGCCACAGCTACTCTCAAATCATGGCAATAAGTCATCTGACAACTATATCTTTGTTTGGGTTTTATAAATGTTTAGCACTATGCTAGAAGAGTACATTTTAGGCACAGATGTTTCAATGACGTCAGCCTCAGAAATGAAAGAAGCTTAGATTGAAAAAACAGATAAGGCTCATTTGCCTCAGACGCTGCTGGAGAAGCAGGACGGCTTTTAATTCAGCCATGAATTTTGAAAAGACCCCGTTTTGCCTGAAATCTATGTATTTTTAACGAATACTCGGGGACAGAACGGCGTCCTTTGCCGTCGGCGACTGGTTTTTATTCTTTCCGGGGGGCTGATTTATTCGCGTTATCAATTAAAGCCAACTAAGCTACGATTCTTGCCTTATACGGGTGATTGATCACTCCTGAATGATGGATGGTAATGACGCCTGAAAAAGGAATTTGTAAAGCTGGCCGATATCAATAATTTCACCGTACAAACACGTCTTAATGAGGCATGGAAGGGGGAAGTCGTCTAAATCCGTCAAATTTTCAAAACCGATATTGGCACATTTTGCGCGTTTCAAAACATCGAGTGATAAGATAAACGTTCACATTAATTTTTTATCGAATTTCAATGACAATATATTTTTTATTACATAAAAGTAAATTTACTAGGAGACAGGAAAAAAACTGCCAAAAAGAACTTGAATCTTTCGTTAGAATACAAGATCCATTTTGCGTACAACAATTTAATATTGAATGCTTGTCAGTCAAATAGTTACATTTTATTTTCGAAATGAGTCGGATATCGAGCTTAACGAGCTATAAAATAAAAGGGATGATGAGTTTGACATGTTTAGACACAAAATTTCTCGCTGGGTATACAGACAGGATTTTATGATTTTTCTAACATGGAAAAATTAAACTATTAATTATTATATTAGTCATTATTTACCAGAGTTATTAAAGCCTCCCAAAGCTGAGGAAGAGACAGACACGATATATCAGGCTGCACATGACTTCTTGACTGAGAGCGGTTTATCTTTAAACATTAAATTGTGAGATTTCTCTGCATCGTCTGCATAGTAATTTGGTCTTTAATGCTGAGGTGATGATGGCGAAATGCCAAAAGACAGACCAACAGCAAAGATACACAAACCAAAATTTTAGGTAACGACCAAATTAAAATATTAAAAATGTTCCGAAAGGAGAAGGGTAATACTTTAAGTGTGACCTGAAAGGGTGAGCTACTTTGCCCAGGCACTCTGTGTAGGAAATCGCCAATTTCTTGATGATATCCTCCGGGAAACGACAAAGGACGACCAGATGTCTCCGCACTTGTAAGTAGTACAAGTTAATGATTTCGACGTCCCCGCGACTTCGTGCATCATCGACGGAGGAAGGCTAAACATATAACTGTCCTCTCTTCGTTCCAAGTCCAGTGCTTAGCGACTGGTTAATACACGAAGTGGTTTGAGGTTCTGCTCTTAGTGTGAGTTTGCATAACGCGATGATGGGCGAGGGGTGATGAAGGGGCGCCTTATAAATGTAAAAACTCAGCCTAAGGAACGTTATTCTCTAATGATTATGTTGGGTGAAGCTGGGCCATGACTGCGCATCGAAAGCTAGTGCTTTGGGATGCCAGGTTGCTCATATGATATGCGTAAGGTGAGGACCGATCAGTTCTGACAATGGTGCTCGTTCTCGGAATGGAGCAAAAAGGGGCCAACTCGCTCAGTAGGTCATTTGCAGAGTATAGGTGTAAATCGCCCAGGTGCAGAGGCTGAGGCTAAACCGTTTACGGAGGTGGAAGTTCTGCACTTTAAACTTTGATGGATGGATCACCTCAGCGTACGGTAATTAAAGATCCCGTCCAACAATCAATGAAAATCGGTTCGCAGGGAAAGAAGTACGCAAACTGCTGTAAGACGGCATAAAGACATTTTTTATATTGAAGGTAGCACTAAGGAAGTAAACTTCACTGTTATTTTGATATTTACAAGAGCAGAACAAAATTAAGAATTATCACCCCAGAAACTGAAAAATCTCGGTAAGCCTATAATAGAATTCGATCCTTATTTCGAAAAACCACCTAAAAATTGGACTATCACTGTAAAGCTTTGTCTCTCAAAGCTGTGAGCAGTACTGTAGAACTCAGCAATACTGTAGAATAAATGTCCGATAGAAAAATTTCTTCGATTATCAGAAAAATGTCTGCAGCGTGTCAAAAAGCATGACCTATCTAAAATTAGTGATAGGACTTCGACCCTCGTACAGCGTACTGCTCCGATCTCGCTTCACCAAATTACTTCTTATTCCGGTCCATATCTTATGTTTTTGAAAAAAGGAGTTTTGTTTCTCATTATGTCACGGTTTTATCTTTATAAAAACTACTGGAGCCGGAGAGGCATAAATTTCAGGCGCAAACTCAGCGATGGAAAACCTTGAAATATTGTTTAGTTTGAAAGGGTAAGTATGCAGTAAGGATAAGTATATCTGATCATAAATTGATTTATTTCATAAATAAAATGTTCAATTTGGCATTAAATTATAAATTCAAATTTACTGGGCTCAGGCTTTACAGTGAACCACTCCATATCCACCTTCCAAGGGCATCTTCAATCTTGGCACTTAGCCGGGTAAAAACTTCGGTGTAAAAAGAAAAAAAAATGAAAAGGACAAAGATGAACGGATATTTTCTACGAGGGAAACTGTAAGAAGGTGCCATTATTTGTTGCCACCCCTATATGGGGTAGTGGTATTAGTTCTACCGCTCACACTGCAGCGATCACTTGTATTTGTTTTTCATTTAGTCCGATCAAACCTTCCACTATTTTATTACCAGTTTTGTTTTTCTGTCTTTTTTATTATTGCACGCGCTATTTTTTTTGTTTTTCAATATTTTCTGTTTTAATATGTTTCTCTTTCACTTTTTATATGTTTGTTTTTTCTTGTTAATTTTTTCCCTCTTTTGTTTTTCCATCTTATTTTCTTGGTTTCTTTTTTCCTTAAGTTTAGTTATAGTTTGAGTTTCTATAGATTTGTCTATGTCAATTTATCCTTTTCTTTCCACTCTTTTTGCTAACGGTTTTTGTAATCCGTTTATCTGTGTTCATGGTATACTTTCTTTATTTTACACATTTCTCCCTTAATTTAACTTTATCTTTCCCTCTTTTGTTTTTCCATCTTACTTTCTTGGTTTCTTTTTTCCTTAAGTTTAGTTATAGTTTGAGTTTCTATAGATTTGTCTATGTCAATTTATCCTTTTCTTTCCACCATTTTTGCTAACGGTTTTTGTAATCCGTTTATCTGTGTTCATGGTATACTTTCTTTATTTTACACATTTCTCCCTTAATTTAACTTTATCTTTTTGTTCATTCATCCGTTTCTTTCTTTTATCACAGCCTGTTAAACTCACTGCCCCACTTTACATTTTCTAAACTAATTAGTCTTTCTTATGTTACTAGATTTTCTGTTTTTTTTTTCTCTCTCTCTCTCTCTCTCACTTTCTCTCATTCCTATCTCTTTTGCTTGTTATATATCTTTTCTTTCTCACACGTACACGCTTTTTTCTTTTGTTGTGAAGAGGGATCTGTGTCCCTTTATCCAGCCCCCTTTTATTAAAAGTTAGGTTTTTGATTTCTTTTTCTTTATTTCACTCGCTATTTTTGTTGTTTTAGTGCCCTTACTTATTTTTTGTGTAACTCTTTTAATTTTTCTTTCTCTCTTTCAGTATTCTTTTCCTGTTTCTTACATTGTTTTTTTCCTAATCTCTCTCTAGCCTTCGTTTCTCACACACAGAAAATAAAAGTTCTCTCTCTCTTTCTTTCTCTTACTGTCACTTTTTCCTTCTTTTTATTATTATAATTATGAATTAGTATTTCTTACGCGAGGGCCGCTATTGATTTAGTTGTCTTACAGAACGGATTATTTGTCTGTTTTTCTCTTCAAAAGTCAATATTAATAACCTTTATTGGTGGTTGAAAGGTGTTTTACGTCTGTCTCATCGGAAATGTATCGCTTTGACCCAGTTTCTTACAT